CTCTCTCTCTCTCTCTCTCTCTCTCTCTCTCTGTTTCCCTTTCGCTCTTTGTCTCTTTCATCCCTTTACGCTCCTTTTCACTCGTCCACCGATGAATAAAAAAATAGAAAATAACGTCATCCCTTCGAAAACTACGCAACGCCAGTGGTGAAGCACGATAAAGGGATATCACGATCTCGTCGATTCTAATTCTATAATTCCGTGCTTAAGCTAGCCCCGGGGACCGGAGCCTACAACACTTTTATCTAAATCTGTGTCACGCGACTCGCTTCATCCCCTTTAATGCCTCGTCGCAGCCTCCGTGGTGGCCGAGGAGCGTGAAAAACCGATGCAACTGGAGCGGATTTCTACGCTCGCAGGTTTTAAGTTCAGGATTCAGAACTTGAATGTTGCCGGTCCAACGTGCAACGAAACTCAGGCTTTTGATTGAAATATGAAAAACAGATCGAGCTCTCTCTTTTCAAGAGGATATATACAGATCCTCTTGGAACACGTTCCTTAAAAATTCTATTTCTATTCTCTTCTCTCTACATACTTGAATCCAATTGTCTTCTAGCAAGCTACAATGAAGACAACTTCCACGTGATATCCTGTACCAATATCCATTATTGCCACGAATACGAATGAAATTCTCAAACGGTCAGTACATTCGTCTGGAGCGGCTTAACGCGGATCAAATTAAAAATGAATCACAGAGGATCGAGCGAGCCGCCGTCGCGCCGCTGCATCGAGAACATCCCTTGCAAATCATATCGCGCGACGGATCCCAGAAATTGAATTCTCACGTGGGAAGGAAAATGACATCGGCGGCTGGCTAATTTTCATGAAAAATCCAGCGTGCCTATCCCTGTGCTGATCGCGCGCGCGCGCGCGCTTTTACATTAATTCGTGGGCCCGCGTAGCCGCTTTAAAAGCATCGGCCAAAATCAATATCGCCTCTACCGGATGGCCTTTTAATCAAACCAGATACCGTAATCGCGGCCTGCTCTCGTCCCAACCCCTTTCCACTCTTTCTCTTCTCCCTTCTTTTTCCCTTTTTCCCTCCCCTTTTTTCCGCTTTTTGCTCTCTCACAGCGTGTTCAGTGGCTACCTGCGCCACACCGGATCATCCTTTCTGCGGACACGCGAGACGTCAGGTTGTTTAAAATTGAAATTTATGTGGCCGCCCGATGAAACTGCACGGTCGAGAGAAAAAAAGGAAAGAGAGAGAGAGAGAGAGAGAGAGAGAGAAAGTTACGTTGAAATCTGCGTAAAAAATGATCCTGTTAACGAGTCGCTACCTAAACACGTACTTGCGGAGTTTTCAGAGTCGGACGGACTCGAGGATTAGAAGGTAAATTCGAGGAAAATTGAACGCGTACACGCGTGGAGGGACGGTTCGTGAAACACCGACGAAGCGTAGCTCGTCGATCCACGTAATGAGCTGGTGTCCAGCGAGCAGAACGAGTTAATTAATCCTCCAGAGACCGGGCACGCTCTGTATGCGTCGCTCGATAATTACTCGCGCAAGTGCGCTCACACTTGCACTCGTCAAGTTCCTATTCCGACGCGCGATTTCCTCGCCAACCACCTGGTCTACACCATCGAACCGTATAAGGGGATCGATACTGTCGATTGTCGTCCTACACCGACTGCAGAGAAAAAAGATTCAACTACGGCCAAGCCTCGTTAGAAACGTTAACATTTACGATTGACACTTGGAACATGAAAGTGAAGTTTCGAAAAATTCTCTTTACCATCGTTAACAAATTGTTCACGTGTTTCGAATTTTTTGGACATTTTTTTTTTTTAACGCATTCATGTAGTATGGGAAATTTTTTGAACGTGGAATTCCTCAAACATTTCTATTGACCAACAGACGATGGTAACCAAAAGACTTATTGTTAAACGGAGAAATAAAAATTCGTACAGAAAAACAGAGAACTGTTGCTCGATATTCCAAAATAACGATCAATGTACGAATCAGAGAATTCGCTGGTAGCGAAATAATCAAAAGTAAGAAAACTTTCGATTGGAACACGTCTAGCGTTAGTAAAAGCCCACTTTTGCCCGTTCTCTTTAACGAACTCAGGTAACGAATTAATTAACGAACTCCGATGCAGTTTCGAAGTACCCCGTACATCCCTGATACATCGGCTAATGAACATCCCGACTAATAGCAGTTCGAATAATCGTAGCACCATAAAATCGAGCCCGTTTAATCGAACCCTCCCCCCCCCCCCTCCCTCTCTCTCTCTCTCTCTCCCTCTCTCTCTCTCTCTCTCTCTCTACACCATTGGATCCACTGTGCGATTAAAGCAAGCAGTACCGAACAGACGAAACAGTCGAACCTCATTTCATGCTATGAATTCACGAGAAAAAAATTCCCCCGGAATCATCCCAAGAAGTGTTTTATGTTACGCTTGATGGCGTCAGAAAATTGCTTCCGTCTCAGAGGTGTCTCTGACAACGATTCACACCGAATGTTTCAACTTCAAAAGATAACCGCTTCCTTCGTCTGACCGAAATAACTACGCACAACCAATCTTTTCTCGTGACGAATAAACAAAAAAAAAAAAAAAAAAATGTTTCCAACGAAAAATATTTCCAACATAACATAAAAATGATTTCACAATCAGATTTTACGCAAATTTCGTAGCAGATTTCGTGAGTTGTTCGCCTCATAAGTTTCTTAATAATCTGAATTTCGAAATACTCGTGAGAAAAAATTCTCAATCAATAGCACGTGTTGAAGACGATTTTCCCAGTGTCGATAACCGAGGTATGTACCTATATAACCAATCAACGCGAAAGAGCGATTCATCTGTTAATTAGAGTTGCCTAACACCAAAATCAAGCAGGCTGTAAACACGGAAATAGCTATTACAATGAATCTGATTCGCGAACGTCTACTCGTCATTCTTGATTAGCGGTAGTGAAGCGGTTCTCGCTGTTTAGAGGCTGATATCGCAGTCAGCGGCCGGAGATCAGGAACGCGGCGGGTAATTATCCCCGAAACAGTAACGCACCCTAATCCTTAGGCCCTTCTCTCTCTCTCTGTGACGGTGGCTAGTGTGGTCCCGCGTGCACATTAACGGCATGTGTGCCGAGTGCGTGCGACGTGATTGATTTGCTTGGCGTGTGGCTAACTTGAACCAAAGTTCGTGCGGAGCGGCACGCACACTCGCAGGAGTGAAACGCGCGCGTAATTCGCAGAGATCATCTCGGGAATGGAAAGGATTCAGCAGAATCGCCTACGTTCATTCACAGACTCGATTACGCGGGGATAGTAATTGTTATCGATCCGTTAGATACGCGTTAGAATAGGGATTGTCTGTTAAATATTCAACCGATCGTTTTTAATTAAGTTAAATCTCTTTCGGATAATTGAAAAACATGGAATTGACAATAGGCGACAATCGAGTTTAGACGTCTATCGAATAGAGATTTGCAAATTTTCAAAGAATAAACCTGTTATACCGCTCGCAATATTTTCCGATTCAATTTCATCGGAACGGCGGGCCCGCGTACGACAGATGCAATTATTCGTAATATCATTTTACCATGCATTAATATTCAGAAATGCGACGGCTTGAGAATATTTAATATTCTGGAGATTTAGGTATAAGCTTTACGAATGAAGGAATTATCGCGACGCTATTGAACGTCTAGATTCGAAAATGAGAAACTCCGTAAACGATGCAATCCCCGTTCTGCGTCACATTTTACAAAGCAGTATTCAAGCGGTAAATTTCGTATGCCTTTTATTTGACGGAGGCAAATTCCGACATTAATCAAAGATAATATTTCGCTTGAGTGAAGTTAATGAATGGATAGACAAGTTCTTAGTAACACACCACGTTTTAGAGATTTACGCACGCATTAAAGGCTGAGATTCATAGAACGCAACGTTTATTAGCCGCTGCAGAAAATACGGACGTTTCCAACGAAGCAGACGAAAGATCGTAGTATTATTTACTTAATAGATCGTTCTCAAGTTAATGTTTGCGTCGTAACCATGGCACAAAATATGAAAGGTTATACGTCCCGACGATCGTCTACGGTTCCTTTAGAACGCGAATAAAAAACAGACTTGTTAAAGCAGAGAGTACTCTCGTAAAGTTTTTATGATTATGACTCTGATTCTGCTTCTTACGCATCTTCTTTCTCATTTCAAATGTAATTCGGTTTAAAATTTCTACGACTGAAATAATTCGGAACAATTGTTCGCGAATATTTTATATTACAGATATAAATTATAAACGCTAGCAATGATAGCAAAAATAGTTTCAAAACTAGAACGCAATTTAGAAATGCAATACTAATCTGTTAAAGGAAATGAAGAAAATTTACTAAATTTTACGAAGTGATATATTATCATGAAACGATAATATATCACTTGCTACTCAGTTGCCGACAGTGGATAACAAGACAGTAAAGAATAAGATGACGGCACCACAGACGAGGTATATGAATAGACATTGCATGACCATGTATTTTTTTCGGCCACGATTTCGAGGCACCCTGTGCTCTGTTTCCATTTTTGCGTCCACATCCTGTCGTACCGATTCAGCAAGTTTTGCACCGCGAAAATCAAAAAATATGGACAGTGCTGCCAGATTTGTTTCGAGAATTATTCATTGCATTAAACGTGGTGGTACTTCATCGATGAAGAAGTACAACGATTTAAAACAGAGATTGATGAAAATTCGGATGAAAAATTTAGTATATAACTGTAAACTTGATTACTGTAACAGACAAAGTGTTTTTGAAAATATTAACAAAGACTAACACCTATTGTGCATCACTTTATCTGAAGGTGAAACTTGAGCAGTGAAAAAGGTCATTATAAGTTGAACCTTCATCGTGTGCACATCAACTAAACTTTCGAAGTGAATTTTTAAATATTATTTCTGAATATCCTAATTGTTTGAACATTATTTAATATTTCTAATAATTTACCTGCCACAATTAAACAATAAATTCTCTTCCGTAATGTTTCTAAGTGTTATTTTTAACTAATAACTTAAAAGAATCTTAAACAATGTGCTTAAGAGAAATGACTTTGAATTATTGAATGAAATAATTAATTTAATTGTTTAATCGTAATCTAAAAATCGTGAAAATTATTAAATAATATCTAGAAATATTATAGAAATAAAATAATTTAATTGTTTCAAATAAATTGTTCAAACTATAAAATAATGCATTTAGATGATATTTTTGTGTATTATTTTTTAACAATTTTAACTATTTACTTGTAACAATAGAACCAGTACTTGAATTCCCAAGTATGATTTCATAGTTTGAATAATTCATTCCCAACAATCAAATTATTTTATTTACAATAACGGAAAAGACAGTTACATATTATACATATTTCTTGCACTCTGAAACAATAAACGAGCGAAAATTTTTATATGTAGCGCGATTATTCTAAAGTGATAATCCCCGCTTAAAACAATTTTTGACTACATAACTTTTCTCAACATAAATTTCTATTCAATACACATCAATGCAGTTCTAATTTAAAAGTTAATATCACGAAAATATATTATTAGCCGATAAAAAATTAATAAATTATTACGTTTAACATTGTAACATATTCATAAAAATGTCACTTTGCGACAGATGTGTAAAAACTATTAAATTCTTGATTAGTACAATAGAAAAATTGTTTCTCGAAATATTAAAAAAAATTGTGCCGGATCACTGACGACACAAACATTAGATTAACCTTGAGCGGTACAGAGTCATTTTTAATTAAACTTTCGATCTGTAAACAAAGATTAAGTTTTACGAGTTTGAAAAAAAAGTTATCAACTGTGCCGAATCGCTGACGACCAAAATATTAAATTAACCTTCAGTGGTACGGAGACTCATTACCAACTGAACTTCCGACGAGTGCACATCGACCCAGCGCAGCACCACAGACATCGTGGGATGTGCGAGTCTTAGCTTTAAGTTGCGTGCATTTAGTTTTAGTTAATCTCTGTAAATTCATTGTGAACGGATTCTGTACAAAAGACACGTTTACCGAACTTGGAACGAAATTAGAAATCCCTCATCTCTTCTCTCTTTTCGTTCGTTGTTGCTATTGCTACTTTGTTCGTTGCACTAGAGTCGAGTTTCTAATTTTCGCAGTCAGTTTGCCGAATGGAGGAACTGCAGTCTCCTACGAAAGGACGAAGTGATATTGCAGTCCAGCGTCTTTGATAATCCGACTCAGCGGTTCCAGCGATCCCCACTGTGTCGTTGGGGGTAGAAGCAATAGCAACGAAGGAAGAGAGGAGATGGGGGATTCCTAATTTGGTCCCAAGTTCAGTAAACGCGTCTTTGAACAGAATGGCGTGATAGACAATTATTGTATGCGTTGTATGATTGTATGCATTGTACGCATTGTATGTATGCGTGCGTTTAATTTTGATTCAACTCTGTAAATTCATTGTGAACGCATTTTGTACAAAGACACGTTTATTGAACTTGGGACGGAACTAGGAATCCCTCATCTCCTCTCTTTTTTCATTCGTTTTTACTATTGTTACTTTGTTCGTTGCACTAGAGTCGGGTCTCCAAGTTTTGTAGCCAGCGTGCTGAATCGGGGAACTGCAGCCTCGTCCGAAAGGACGTGGTGAGAGTCTTGTAGTCCAGCGTCCTTGGTAATTCGACTCAGCGGTTCTGCAGAACCTCACTGTGTGTCGTTGGGGGTAGCGTTGGATTACTTGCCTCTAAATGCTCGAACCTCAATTCGGCACATTGACTGCGAAACTTGGAAATTCGACTCCAGTGTCGAACGG